ATTATTATCATCGTTAATTTTAATGGAAATTTAACGGAAAAAAATGCATTACTCGGAGTTACTCCACCGAATTTTTCCGGATCGCTATTTATTATCCTGTTTTTTAATGTTCTCCTTCCGACTCCGTGACAACCAATCAAAACCAAAGTTTTCCTTTTAAATGGCGGCATTCTCGTGACTTCTTCATATAAAAGTAATTCAGCTTTATCGAATTCCGAATTCGTTTTCGTCTGGTAAAGAATTTTACGCTTTTTTTTCGAGATCTGTAAATAAACAAAAAACAAATTAATACAAAATATTTTCGATTGATCGATATATCGATCGATAGTCTTATAGTACTTACCCTCGTTCCGCATATGCTTATTTTATGTACAAAATCCGCTTCCGGTTTAACGAACGCTTTCCGTCTTTCTTCGAGTTCTTGCGATGGTATCAAACCCGCAGGACCGTTCGAACCGACTTTTTTAGCCTGCCACCAATTCGGATCGTTTTGATTCATTATTTGTAAAACGTCACCTTTTTTAAAATCCAAACCGATTTCCCGACAGGGTAGCAACGTGTCTTCTTTCGGATCGTAATCGAATAATGCTCTCATGTAAACCTGGAAAGAAAAAAAAAAAAATTTTTATAAGGTTCGATTAAGGTTCGTCGCCCTTTATAACAATTTGTAACAATGAACAAACAAGTATAAGAGATTCTTTTTAGAGAAAATACCTGAAAATGTAAAACAAGTATCATAGATTATTTCCTTTGTTTAATTTTTTTTTTTTTTTTTTTTTTAACAACTCATTGTAATCATCATCATCATCAATCACAAATCAAATTATACAAATTTTATCATTAATTTTTTAAGTTAATGACCTTTTGGAGAAAGATATGAAAAATTTCACACGTGTCCCACCCACCCACTTCCTTCGCACCCCCCTCACAATTTTCCAGGTGAAACGCAGGTGTCAAAACTGGAGTGAAAAAATTTCTTTCTCTCTTTCTCTCTCTCTATCTCTCCCTCTCGCTCTTTCTTTCTTACCATCGTATTGATTCCATTTCCTCCGTAACCGTTAACGACTTTTCCATTTTGTACTCCGGTTATGGCAGACGTGTCATCAAAACTCGGAGCTATTTTAAGGGTAACAGTATCTTTAGATCTTGCAATTTCCGTTATGAGATCTTCCGGTGATTCCACGGATATACCATTGACTTCCAGTATAATATCACCCTTACTCAAAAGTGCCTGGAAATATTATCATCATTATTATTAACATCGATTTTCTTTATTCTGCGAAAACAATAGGTTTATTTACATACCTGTTTGTCGATCATTCCTCCGGCTAATATTCTAGCCACTACCAAATTACCATTTTCGTCTTGTTCCACGGTCAAACCCAAAGGTTCGTTTGGATTTTTTCTCAAACCTATGACTCGTATAGCATCTGCGGTCATTGTTGTGCCGTTTGGGAAAAAATCAATGGAATCGATTTCGGCTAGCGGTGCTAATTCGGGTGACGATGGAAAATTATATCTTTCGGCAATGCTGTCATGTGTTCCTAGGAGGGATCTAAAGTGTGGATTCGATAATATCCCAATTAATTCTTGAGCATCTAAACTAATTATTTTTTCACAATGTTTATTAATGTCATTTATTAAATTTATATTTCCCGTCGATAAAGGTCCACTACTTTCTAAATTTTCTTCTAATTTATCCTGAGCCTAAAAAAAAAAAAAAAAGAAAAATTTTATTCGTTGTTGTAATAATAATAAAACCTTTTTCTGTCGTCTGCTAGACGATCACACTATTTAATACAAAAATTTTCTTATATATATTTCTATCACATTACAAACGAATGTAATGTTTTCGTCTCATTACGTCATCATAACCTTAAAGTAAAATTTTTTTGATATCGTACCTGAAATTGTTTTTTTTTTTTTTTTAACTAAAACCACGTCAAAAAAAAATTATTTTGAAAAACTTAAACGCACTTTTACCACGAATAAATCATTCGCGATTATTTTTTTTAAAAAAATATTTTTGCATTAAAAAAAATTGTTTGTTTGCAACGTAAAGTATGCCTTGAAACAAACGGTATGGAATACCTGACGCGTAAGCCAAGCCCACCTGTTAGAAAGACCGTTTCAAAAACATCGGCTTGTGAAAACAAAAAAATTTTTTTTTTTTTTTATTTTCTTTCGAAATTTTGTCGCCGTTTGAATAATTATTATTATTATTATTATACTCGAGAGAATGTGAACAAAAAAAAAATGGCAGGAAAGTAACGAGGTTGTTGTTGTTGTTGTTGTGTGTGTGTGAAAATCTCACGTGACAAAATAATAATAATTTGAATGAGAAACAAACAAAGGAAAACGAAACGAAAATGTCAGGAGGGGAAAGTGAGGGAGGGGAGGGGAGGGCAGGTATCCTACCGATTTGAATTCGAACCGTTTGTAACAACCAAGACAACAACAACAACAATCAACAACAACAACAAACGTTTGAATTTTATTAATTTTTTAATTTTTTTATTCCAGCAAATGTTTTTCGACCTCGTTTATAATTTACGTAATCAAAATAACGTAGAAATTTTTTTTTGTTTTTAATTTAATAAAATAAAATGGCGGATTCGTTTTAATAATAATAATAATAATAATAATAATAATAATAATAATAATAATAATAATAATAATAATAATAATAATAATAATAATAATAATAATAATAATAATAATAATAATAATAATAATAATAATAATAATTGAACGTAATTCGTCGTTTACTCATCGTCGTTAAAAAAAAAAAAATTTCAATGGAGGGTAAAATATTTTTCATTTTCAGGTATTTAAAAATGTTATTTAACCTTGAAAAAGAAGGTAGTATTTATTCATTTTCGTCTGCTACCTACCTTAACACCGAAATAATAATAATAATAATAATAATAATGATGATGACAGTATTCGATAGTTTTGCTCACGTTTAAAAATAAATATTTATGTATTTATCGTAATATTTGGAAAAATCAAGTTTCGGTCATAAATAATTTTTGATAATTCAATTCCCGATTAATAATTTTTTTTTTTATCCAGAGGGATTAACGAAATCCCTCCTTTATCCAGGTTTTTTTTTTTTTTTTTTTGAAAAAATTCCAGAAAAAATTCGAATTCGATAAAATTCGAAAAAAAAATTTTTTTTTTTTTTAAATTACGCAAAAACCGAAAAATAAACCAAAAGGTTAATTGTAATAATCGAAAGCGAAAATTTAATAAATTTTTGTCGACCTTTAACCTTTTAAATTTCGAGGTCGGTGACCCCGTTGGATTCGATTAAAATTATGAAGATTAATATTTAAAAAAATTTTTTTTTTTTGACGGGCGTGGTAGGCGCGGAAGTTAAATTTTTTTTTTTTTTTAAATTTGAAATTTTGTTATCCCCCCCCCTTAAAAAAAATTTTAATTTTTACCTGAGTAGTGGTAATAGAAATTTAAGTTTACTCGATCGAAATCTAAAACCACGAACGCGGAATAAATAATAATAATAATAATAAAATTACCTGTTATTTGTAATAATAATAACGATTTGAATCGATATAAAGTATGGAAAAAATCCGTGGAAAATTGCGTAAACGCGCGGTTGTGTGAGTGCACGTGCGTGACGTGCGTAAATACGCGTGCGAATGAACTTTAAAAAAAAAATTTAAAATTTAAAAATTTTTAGTCAACTCACTCACTCACTCACTCTGTCATTCATAGACTGAATTCTAGCAAAAAAAAAATTGCAACGAAACAAACGTAGCGTTAATTAATTACGTTCAACATTAAACGTACGTTAACGCCCGATCACTATAATATTTCTCCTGCCACGACAAATAGACGTGCACCTTAGCCCACACTATCATCATCACACTTTATCGTGGAAGGAAATTTTAAACTTTGTGGTTTTTTTTTTTTTTATAAAACCACGTGATCCGAATTTTTTTTACGTTTCGTTTAAAAAAAAAAAAAAAATTAATCCTACTCTCCTACATTATTAAATTTAAATAATCCGTAACGGAAAAAAAAAAAAAAAAATTTATGTCAAGTCGTCTGCTTCGATTGTTGTTGTTGTTTGTTTTATTAATTTTATTATTATTATTATTATTTAAAACTTTTTTTTTACGAACGAAATCGTGACCTTTTCAAATGAGTTACGACGAAGAATTTCACGTTTAAAAAAAAAAAAAATTCCCCCCACGCACTCTTTCTCTTTCTCTGTCCGTTTCTACGACAGCAGAAAGAATTTACACGTGTTTTAAACCGGAAGTAGTTGTATAAGTATATTAGCTATCTCTCTCTCTCTCTCTCTCTCTCACCTTAATTAATGATTTCATCGTTGGCGAATCCAATATGCTTTTAAGAAAAAGCAAATCCGTTTCGTTGGCTCCGATTTCGTTAAGTTCTTCGATATTTTCCCTGACATGTTGAAAGGCCGCTGAAACGACAAAAAAACGAAACGATAATAATAATAATAATAATAATGGAAAACGTTTACGAAGGAATGCAATTTGTGGAAAAAATTTTTTTTATAGGAAAGGGGAGGAATAAAAATTCCTTTGGGAAATTCTCATAAAAATAAAATTAACAAGTTAGATCCTGTAGGAAAAATTGATCGGTTTGAAAGGCAAAAAAAAAAAAGAAGGGAAGGGGGAAGGAAAGAGTTGTAGAAATAAATAAAAATAAATTTAAAAAAAAAAAAGAAAACTCCGGAAATCCTGTGGGAAATTTATAGGAAAGCATTTTTCGACTCGTTTTTTTTTTTTACTTTTTTTAACGTTTTAAATTCGTTCGATTATTATTTTTAATTTAATTAGGTTAATTGTTTTGTTTTTTTTTTTTTTAATGACGTTTTTCTAAGTCGTGTAATAATAATAATAATAATAATAATAATAATAATAATAATAATAATAATAATAATAGTAATAATAATAATAATAATAATAATAATAATAATAATAATAATAATAATAATAATTTTATTTCGGTATTAAATAAAATTATTATTATTATTATTATTATTATTATTATTATTATTTTAATGGCGTATTTTATAATTAAAACCGTTAAAAAATTTTATTGTTTTTTATATTTAAAAAAAAAATTTCGAATGAGAAGATGAAGAGGAGGAATGAAAAAAAATTTAAAAAAAAAAACAACTTTTTGGCACGTCGTGATTTATTAAATTTTTTTTTTTTTTTTTTTTTTGGGTTTACGATTTTATATTTATAAAAAAATAAAAAAAAAATTTTTTTTTTGTTTCGTTTTAAATAAATTTTCTTTTTTTCTTTTTGTAAAAATTTCGCTTTGAAAAAATCTTTCAACGTATGAGAAAAATTCTTTTTTTTTTTTAAATTTTTTCAATGAATCTAAAAAAAAAAACAAAATTTTATTAAAACCGTGATTTTCATTTTTTTTTTTTTTTACGTACGTTTTACGTAACGTAATTTTACGTAAAATCTGTTTAAATATTAAATTACGGTAGGAAAATGTGGAAAAAATAAGAAGAAAAAAAAATTTGTCGTGGCAGGAGAAACGAAAAACGAAAACAAGTAAAAAATTGATAAAATTCGTTCGTACGTTGACATTTTTATAAAAAAAAAAAAAAAATTAAATTACGTTACGTTTCTTCTCCCTCCTTCCCTCCCCTCTCCCTTCCCCATTCGTGATAAAAGTCGATGATAAATGATAACAAACGTTACGTAACTGGTACGAATTTTATTCACGAGTGATAAATAAGCAAACAAACAAACAAACGACGATTTTAAGCTAAAGTTTTTCGACTCTTTGTTTTTTTTTTTACGTTGTTTGTTGGAAAACAAACGCTTTTAAAATTTTCCAAATTATTACCGTTAATTAAATAATAATTTGACAAATTTATCTAAATTTCAAAAATAATAATAATAATAATAATAATAATAATAAACTTACGAGAAAAAAAAAACAAAAAAAAAACAAACGAATTCGGTTAAACAAACGCGTTATTTTGAATCGTACAAACGTTCTCGCGGATTCCCATCTTTGATTGTTGCTGTTTGTTTTATAATAAACAACAACAAAACTTCCCCCTCTCCTCCCCCAGGAAAAAAAGCGACAATGTTACGAATTTGTAAAAACAAACGATTGTTTTTGTACGTATCGAACGATTTAAAACAAAAGTTTCTTTGTATTAAAATTTTTTAAAATGGCGTCATTTATTTATTTATTTATTTAAAATTTTTTTTTTTTCTTAATTTATTTTCGTACGAAAGTAATCGTTATAGAAAAAATTTCTATTACAAAAAAAAATCATTCGACATTTTTTTTTTTTTTTTGTTTCGACAACAACAACAACAACAAACAAACAAACAAATATTAAATTTTCAAGGGTAAGAAAAAAAAAAACAAAATCTGTGTTGTTTGTTTTTTTTCTCTTTTCGACATATTTATTATTATGTTTAATAATATTTAATATTTTTTATTTTCTCATCGTAAACATGATAATAATAATAATAATAATAATCATCGTCATCGTCATCATCATCATCATCATTTCTCTTAACGACAGCAAAACATTACGAAACTCATAAAAGTTCATTTTGATCGTGCCATTTACCGAACGTCACAATCGATTTGAAATTTTTTTAACCGAAAAATAAATCCGTTCGTTCGTTCGTCCGTTCGTACATTCATCCGTTCGTTCGTTCATCCATCCATCCGTTCGCATGCACTTTATAAACGTCACGTTTTTGTTACAAATAAAAAAAAAAAAAAAAATTTAACGACGTCGCGTCGTTAAATAAATTTTTTTTTTCTGTCGTTCAGTACGCACCGGTTTCTATCGAGATTAAAAAATCGATTAATCGATCAATCGATCGATCGATCGATCGATGATTAATTACGTTAATAATAATTGTAAAATTTAAGCGATTTTTTCGAACGTTTCTCATTTAAAAAAAAAAAAAAAATGGCGGCCGTTATATATTTTTTATTAATTCGT